AGGAATGGAGGGGAAGGAGAGAAAAGCAGAGAGAGGTGGCATGAACTAAAGCATGTGTGTCAACAAACTGGGCAGCTCATGGATGCTGCAGCAACCTAGCTCTACATATTGATCCCAGCAGATGTTTATTTGCTTACCCTTTAAATTTGGAATCCAAACCAGTTATTATTATTAACATGGCAACAGCAACCAGGGCTACCCCTTCTGGATCAGAGCCCTGCAGCAAGGCATATACCCAAAAAAAGAGAAACAGCCTCCATGCTGAAGAGCTTGCAGGAAGTACATGGGTGGGAGTACATACAGCAAGCATATACCTGCCCACCCTCCCTGCAAGTGCGGCAGCGACTCTGCAGCAGTATGGGCACCAGCTGCCTGGTGTCCTGTGTCAGCTATAGTCCATCACCTGTGTGTCATGCTCAGGTGGGGAGCACACAAAGCTCAGATAATGGAGGTTGAGCTTTGAGAATTTACTTGGTACAATCTATTTTCTATTGGGGGGGTGAAGGTGAAACAAACACCAACTGTTACTAATGGGAAAGTTAGAGCCTTTTTCTCTATTCAGCTGTTCGCTTCTAAATGCAGCTTCAGATACTTTCACTCATCATCCGTAACATCAGTTGCTGGCCAACTGTCCCAACATTTATATCCCACAAAATGTATGTAATAGACAAAAATATATAAATATACTATACAAACATCACCACCACCACCCTGTTAGGCAACAAGCACAAAGAGCTCAGAAAACTGTTCTCTCTGGATTCCATTGTCCTTCCTGCATTAATAACTGCATGTTAAAAAAAAAACCAAACCCAAACTTTGTGCTAACCTAAAACAGTCAACTGTCTGAATAAGTCTGCAATATAGGTGTCACCTGTATTTTCGTGCTGGGAATTAGGACACAGCAGAAGTGATGTAAGTAAAGTTAGAAAGGTTATTATCAGATCCAAGAGTTCCTCCTTTCAGCTGTAGAGCCTAACACATTTCACATTTACTATTAATTACGAAGAAGCCTTGGTCACAGATACAGCCCCTTTATCCCAGTTTGCCATTCGGCTGCTCCAAAGAAAAAGATGGTCTTTCCAGGTTTTGCAGAACCTGTGAAAAATACTTTGACAGATGGCTGCTTTTTTCCCCTCCTCGCAGTTTCAAAAAATAACACCAGAAAGACACCAATCTCTCCCTGCTTCCTCATGAAGAACAATACCAGTTTCCCAAGTACTTGTAAGACAGGAAACTGCCGCTAATAAGAAAATACAGAGTAAGTTTTTGATAAGGAAAAATAAAATACTATCATGTACAGTTAATTCAAAACCTAATAAATCTGTACACAGAAGAAGCTTTCCATATTTTGGTTTCCCCCCCCAAATATATAAAAAAAAATTTGAAGACTTGAGGGAAGAAGGAAAAAAAAAAAAGAACGTAAAAAGGCCACCGAAAGGAAGTTCAATAGACAGACCTGATACCTGCTTGTAAGGAACCTCAGTCTTAAAGAGGAAATCATAAACAAGTGGCTCCTTTGGTTTCAGCAAAGGTGTTCCAAGATGTATTTTGCCCTAAATTTGAGCGAAGGTTAACAAAACTGTGTTAGTCAGTCTTAATCACTGGAGCACTGCAAGACAACATCCGTCTGCTTTTCTGAAGGGCAATTTTAATGGAAATCTTGCCTAAAACTGAGTATGTTGCCTTCCTGCATTTTCATGTGGTCCTGTTACCTTACTTGACTACTAAGTAGTTTTAACTACATGATCCCATTTAACCTGAAATGTGAACCGCTGCTCAGAAGACGCTGAATAAAGGCTTTAAAGGGAGAGGAAAAAGAAACACAAACTTCACACAAACACAAGCTTCAATTGACCAGCTTCTCCGTGAGGAGGCCCCCACCTGAGGGAGTTGAGAAGAGGAATGAGCACTGGACATCCTGCAAAGCCTCCTGCCTAATTCAGCTGCAGGCAGCCAGGAAGAGCCAGTGTCGCTGCAGAACATGCACCTTTTACAAAGCAAATTTACAAAGCAAATGCACAACTGCCACATTAGGTCTAATTTTAGGATTTTCCCTGCCTTGCCTCAAAGTTGAAGCTTTCACAGTCCTATTTACATGTTCTACAAGCAGGGATCATACACTGGCTGGTGTCAGCCTGTTACCGGACACTGTTGAGTAAACAGAACTTGCATGCCTGGCACTGAGTGGTTGTGAGTTATTGACAGAGTGGGTGATGCTGTCTTACAGCCAGTTGCTATTTCTGGAAAGCATGTAATGTTACTTTACAGTACTAAAGGAAGATGTAATGCAAGTAGTCCGTCCACTGTCTTGGGATCTAGTAATTTTATATACATTATCAGAATTGCAGTTATGAAAAGAATAAATCTCCCAACAGCCTCAGAATTTCTAATTTCAAAGTTTTGTACATTTAAGATATTGAAAAGCTCATAATGGGCACCTGAAGTCAGTCCCATGTACAATGGACTTTCACATGTTAAAAAGCCATTTATGTCTCCGCCCCTGATTAGAGTATTGCTTCCTCAAGGTCACAGCACGTAGCAACTTCTCCTCCCAACCCCCCTGCTACACCCCCAATGGAGAATTTTCCTGGATTACTTTTAGCCACCAATATTGCTCAAGGGCTTCTCTCTGCAATACCTAACCCACACTACTCCTGAACAAGTTGTTAGAAAGATGCTTCCTCTCCAAAAATCACTCTGCGTTTTACTAGTCTATTGGATACAAACTTAAAATTGTCATAGAGAGTAAGCTTAAGAAACAGACTGTGGCTTATTGAGGCAGAGGGCATGGCAGTCCTATACGTTTCAGTTCTGGGAAGTTTTTAACCCCAGGCACACGCAATGGCTGTATCAAAGGCTCCTTAGCCAAGGTTGACTTGATCAGGTAGGGACGTGCTGTTATCAGAATATTTTGGGCAGAGGGGAGAATAAAATTTTAAAAAATTTAAAAATAATCAAGGCTTATACAGTTGTGCTGACCTAATTTGTGTGCAGCTCTTACTTGTCCAAATAACATTTCAACACAGCAGCCACTGTGAGGGTACTCTGACAGAACGGTTAAAACCTCAAAAAAAGCCTTCTGATACATGACCAGATAAGAGAACCTATTAATGCTCCCACTAGTGGCAAGACAGAATCATGAGATCAATCCTTAGCTCAGAATCCAAGCACAAGACACTGATCGTTAAGAAGCCAGGCTCACCAGTTCTGCTACTCACTGAACAGTTCATTTATTCATATAATTATGTTGGTACAACCCTCAGCATAGAGTCAGGTATAGGCCAGAGGTTTCATTATCCAAGTAGCTTGTTCCCATAAGCAGCAGCTGTATCAGACAAAACACATTTGTACCTATACAAACACAGCATCAGGTAGAAGGGCAGAATTGCTTTCACTGTACCAGCACAGCAAAGCCACACTGCTTAGGCTGCTAAAATCCCACATATACATCACATGTGTGAAAGTTGAGATTTTTGCCAGCACCACTTTCCCAGTTTTGGGGAGCTATGTGCTGGTGAGACCATATCTGAAATGCACTCAACACAGAGGGTTTCACGTACATCCAGCCAGTGCCAATGAGGTAGACTGCTGCTGTAAACCCCATGTCCCTGTTTAAATGAAGCCAAATTATCTCAGTCCCAGACTCAGTTTGAAACTGATCTGGGGGAGACATGGGGAAGGGCAGGCCCCCTGCTTTTGGGCTATTGTAATTTTAAAGGGAGAAAGCAGCTTTGAGGTTGGAGCAACCGCACCCAGTTGTGAAGGCAGAACACAAGCATCTCTCTACATTCTCTCCATGTTCTGGATCTTCATTCTCTTTTCCATTCATGCTCTCCCCTTTCCCTCCCAAGGTCAAATCACAATAGAAGGATTGGGCTCAAAGCACCTGTTCATTTTGTTTTGGACGTGGGGAAGCAGACAGGAAATAGCAGGTTCCTATTTCCTAATAGATAGTATGCCTAAAGCCTCCCAAAAGAGGTCAGTTTCTGAGATACAGCAAACACCTTCTATAATAAAATGGCCCTTGTGTCTAAACTCAGCTCAGGAGAAATTAGTTTCTCAAAGAAAAGGATGTCAAAGCAATATAAAAATTTAAAAACTTCATTAAAAAAAAATACAAGCGAGCTGCTATAAAGAGTAGGCTGCATCTGCCCACATTCAATAATCATCACCAAAATTCACTGAGAGGCAGCAGTGACTCAGCCTGCAGTACACAAAGACAAGCTTGTGCTCCCAATACATAATGAAACTGGGCTTTATACAAAATCATAAATCCACATGCGCCCCATTGACAACACACATGCAGGGGAATCCCAGCACTGACAGACAGGCGGGGAATCATCAGCCTTTCCTCTTACTGCTGCCCACACTCAGACACAAAAACATCTCCGCAGAAGCACACCTCACCTTTGCTTCAATCCAGGAAGTAGGTCGTGTTGTTTTCCAGCTGGGTTTACTAGGACTCAGAAATCAAGAGAAGGTTCAAAAAAAGATGGAGGAGAGTGTGATATATTTCGAGGGGGAGGGAAACTAACTCTGGTCCTCAACTACATCCCACTATCCTTTCAAATGTCACCTCCAGCTCTTAAAAAAAAAGGGAAAAAAAGACAGAGAAATCTATGCATGGCTTTATTAAATTGCTCCATTGTGTGAATGGATTAATCATACTACCAGTAAAAACCTTAAGGTATACAATTACTGCAGTTCACCTCCTGCCCAATAGCCACAAGAAACACAGGGCTTTCTTACAGACTGTACTGTTTGCTCCCATACTCATGCTGTCACATCACTTAAAAAAAATACGTTTCTCAGAGACGCTTTCTGTGCTGACCTCCAGAACAACTCCTTCCTTCAGACATCCTCAGCCTTTTTCTCAGAACAACCACTAGCTCCTATCAAAAGTAACTGACACAGAAGGCCACTCAGCAAATGAAAAACCTGTCCCGTGGAATCATCAGGACTTTAGCAGCACAACCCATTTGAGTTAGAAACCCTCCTACCTGTTCACAGCAGGGCACCGGCCTGAGCGCCAGGAAAGTGCAGGACTCCTGGGTTCTTATCCTAGCTCAGCTCTGCCTTTTGATGCTATCTCAGCCAAATAGTTTCTTTTCCCTCTTCTTCAGATCATACACCTGTAAAACAGGGATTACATGCACCTACTCACAGTGGCGTAGAAAGGATTAATATATTAGTGCTGCAACCCCCCATTCTAAATCCCTCAATGTACAGTCATGGCAGGGACAGGATGGGACAGGGGGGTACAACCAAAACAGCTTTATTATTAGCCCCTGCTGTGGCACTGACAGGGAGGGCCTCCCTGAACTTTGCCATGTTCCTTGTTCTATGTCCCAATGCTTCTCCAAGCAGCTCTGGCCACTAAAGCTCTTCGGATCTCTACAGGCTTCCTGCAGCACGCACTTGCCTTGTGCTCCAGAACATGGAACACACAGGCCAGAGAAGCTGCTGTGAAGCAACAGGGTTCTCTCTGGATTGCCCACACATAAATTTTACTTCGTATAACACAGTGGGTATACACCCTCTACTCACTTCCCCCCCCCCCCCCCATGCACATTCCATACGAAACCACCTAAGGGCTG